TGTTAAAGTTTATGGCATGGTAATTCATTCACTTCCTTATTAAATCAATTTTGTTTTTCAGAGCAATTTTAGACTTATAGTTTGTTAGTCAATGTTTGCTAGAGGAACAGCATCAACACGAAGTGTGATTATAAAAGGGGACTTATAGATTGGCCTACTTGACCCGAAGCTGGATGTCCACAGTGGCCATCTGCAGGGTGGAGAGCTTGAGAAGTAGTAGCTGCAGAGTCCAAGAGGCTGAAGCCTCAAAACAAGAGGGATCAGTGGTGATGCCCTAGTTCAGACCAAAGGTTTTGGAAACTCCCTGGAGAAACAGGAGAGTCCACTTTGGGAGAGTGAAGAAGGCAGAGTCTGAAATCATCATGCCATTGCAGCAGCCATTAGAGAAATAAGGCCTTTCTCTGCTGCTGCTTCCTCCTTCTTCCAACTTTTGTTTCACCTAAGACACCGTCCTATTGGATGGTGCTGCCTATACCTAAGGAGGTTCTCTAGTTTGGTTCTCTGTTCCACATGCCAATCATTTGTAGACACACCCTCATGGACACACCCAGAGGCCTCTTAATCACAGGTATCTTTTAGTCCATTGCGGTTGACAGTTCAAATGAGCCATTACATACAGTATCAAACACCCTTCTCTACACTGTTCTCAATATTTTGTATTGATGTTGGATGCTTGTTAGTTACTGAATCAGTATCCTACATTTGATTAAGAGAGTGGATGAAGCAACACTTTATCATCAGCTGAAATCCATGCTTTACCCTATGGTTCCTTCTCTGTGTGGTGTGATTTTGTGTATCACATACTCTACATAATAATGTCATACAGAAGAGTATCAGTGCATCTATAATGTTGTCTCTTCTGGAATGTTCTTGACTTGGAATCTTACTGCACTTGGCCTTCCAGACTGGCTTCTCTCACTTTCCAGTCTGCCTTTAAGGATGCTGTATCTTTCCAGGCTGAAGAGTTCACTTTCTGGGTGATGTTCTTTGGTGTGGTTCAACTGCAGCTCGTCTATTCAGCATTAAAAGGTGCATCTTTCTTGCTTTTAGCTTTGGGCAGTTCTGGATATGGCTGCTGTAGTCATTGCTGAGAAGTTTTCTGTGCATAATTTCCACCTCATTTGAATAGACACCTTGGAGTGTGGTGAATTAATTGTAGAGTGTACCATCTTTATTTTGTAAGAGCGTGACTGTCTTCCAGAGAGAGTGTTCTTCTCTCCATTCACATGAGCAAGTGAAGGGTTCTTGTTGAGTCATGTTTTCACTGTCTTTTGGAGCTTTTAGTGTTTGGCATTTCACCTCTCCAGTTGAGTATCTGGTGGCACCTCATTGTTCATTTTGAAGTTTCCTAATTATATGCAGGTGAACATCTTCTCACACACGTATTAACTGTGCCTATTTATTGAATGAGTGTCTTTCCAAATCTTTTTCCCACTTACAAGTTGGTTGCTTACTTTTTTTTACTGAGTATTCTTCATGTATGTTGAATACCAACCCAGTGTCACTATGTGTTGTGACATTTTGTTCAGTTCTCCAGCATGTCTTCTCATTCTCTCAAGTGCATCTTTTGAAAAACGCAAACTTCATTTTGATCAAGTTCTATTTACAAGTTTTTCACTCACAGTTTATGTGTTTGATGTTGCATATGAAGCTGTCATACCAGCTCAGATTTCTCTGTAAGTACTTCTTTGTTATTTTAGTGAAGTTTGGAGTTTTGCATTAGGTACTACAATGTATAGGCAATTTTTTGGTGCCAACAAGTGAACCCTGGACCTCCTATGTGCCAGGCAGGTGCTTTGCTAGAGCTGCAGTCCCAGCTGTGTGTCCCAGTTTGAGACTGAGGCTCCACTGGGAGCTCTGTGACATTTGTGAAATGAGAATGTTTTCTTTCTCTACATGTTAATTCATGTCCAGTGCTTTGGCAACATTGTCAAAGAGAGTATATTTTCCATTAATTTTCTTTTGTTCCTTTGTCAAATATCAGTGGAATGTTTTTATACTGTGCTAAATACCACTGTGTCTTGATGATTGTAGATTTTTAGTAGCTGTTAACCTCAGGTAGTGTTCATCCTGTGAACTGAGTGTTCATTACTGTGTTTGTTGTTCAGGATCTTTTGTTACTGAAAACATAACTTAAAATATTTTTATTGGGATTATATTGAATCAATAAATAAAATTGGTAAGAATTGATGGTAACTAGGCTTCCCATCTGTGAACATAAAAGTATCTCCAAATATTTTCCATGTCTGTAATATTTTTATTAGAAGTTAGCAGTTTTTGTCATACAGATTTTTGTTAGATTTATATATGAGTATTTCTCTTTTATTGGTTCTGTATAAGTGGTGTGTGTTTGTTTTTCTTTTCATTTTGGTGCTGGGTGTTGGACTCAGGGCTGCTCTACCATTGAGCTACATTCCCAAAACTTTTAATTTTTTGTTTAGAAACAGAGTCTTGCTAAATTGCCCAGGCTGGACTCAAACATTGGATCATCCTGCCTTGGCCCCCTGATTGGCAAGGACCAGAGGCATGGCATCCATGCCCAGCTTCCTGTGGTCAATAGTATAATAATTGTCCTATTTATTAACATGACAACACTGATGTCACATCATTGTTTTTCATGATTCTTCAGTGGATTTCAGTAGCATAGAGGATCATGCTGTCTTTCTATGAAGACGTTGTGTTTTTTTGAGCTTGAGTGTTTTTTCATTATTCTTGATTTTTTTAACTATTGATATAATCAATATTTATTATTTAGATTTTTGTTGTTATGGATAATGTTAATTGGTTTTTTAATTCTGAATCAGCCTTCCATTTGTGCTGTGTTCCTGGGCCCTGCAGAGGCTGATGTGAGTGGATCTGGGCAACTGGGCTTGACTTCCCACAGTAGTATTCTGGTCTCTGGAAAATTTTAACTGAGTTTTAAATGTGGCATCAGTCTTACAGAGTTGTAATAATTTCTTCTTGGCTGTGGTTATAATTCTTTTTATTTATTTTTGGATTCAATAAAGTATTGTTTGATGAGGAATTTTGCATTCATGATCATGAGAGTCTTTCATAGTTTTCTTTTCTATTTAATACTTTTATTTATCTATCTAATTTTGATAATATGGTGAAATGTGCCATATAAAGAATTATAAGGGTAGCTGGGGTTCTGACTCAGTTGTTGAGAACTTGCCTAGCATGTCCAAGATCCTGGGTTCAATCCTCAGCACCACATAAATAAATAGGATACAGCTATTGTGTTCAACTGCAACTAAAAAATAAATATAAAAATAAAGAATTAGGAAGTTTTAACTCAACTTCTGTTGTCTGGAAATAATAGAAAATTGGTGGCAGGTCTTAAGTGTCTCATGGAAGCCTGTTTGACATGTCTTGCCTTTTTTTTTTTTTTTTTTTTTTTTTTGAGGGGGGTGGGTTAATTATATGTTTTTTTAAATTTTTGAAATGTGTTTTAGACTTTCACAGTTAAATGTATAATAAATGATATTTTTCTGCAGAATAGTGGGATGAAGTATTCTTTGCAACTTAGATTTCAGTTTCCCTAGACCGTCATTGTGATCTGTCTCCAAGACACCTACTGTCATTCATAATTTTTCCATGCCATGAAGAACAGCCCACGAAAGGCTTTCTCTTGGGCTTCTACTAGCCTCTGTTGATACTGTCGTGCTTCAAATGTCATGTGTTTTAAGGCCTTGAGCATGGTTCTTTGTGAGTGGCAGTTGTGTTCTGGTAGGTGGTCCTTTTGGCTGTTCCACAATGTGCAGAAATCATAGCCTGCTTAGAGACCCACATGGAGTGGCCTGCTTCACAAGCAGTCAGCGTGGGATAGTTCAGGATTCTGGGCTGCAAACCTGCTGCTTTAACACACCCTGGAAGTGCTTGTGCCTGAGGTTTCCTTGCACCAGCTGTGCTACAAGAATGAAGAATCTCTTTCATGACAAACATTGTACATGTGGCCTATCTTGAACAAAGTGTCCTTGATCAGAATGGTGGTATATGTCTCAACTGTACATGATCTGAGTGAGACATATGCTGTTCAGAAGAGATTGAGAATCATTGGACATTCCTGGTTGCCATGAGGTTTGGGAAAGGATTTTCTGCTGTCTGTTAAGAAAACTATTTTTCAAACCGAAATACTTTTGTAAGGCTGTTGTTTGGACAAGGTGACATCTTGGGGTCATCGAGTTCTTTCTGAGACACATGCCATCTTTTGACACACCCCATTCTGCTTTGACATTAACCACCAGAAATTATTATATTGTTATGTTTATTAATCATTGTACTTGATTACTAATTGAGTAAATTTGTTCTGGAGTAAGGCTCCTGCAAACTTCTAGTTGTCCTCAGTGTAATCACCCAAGTTGAGCTCAGTCCCCAGTGAACACATTGTGACAACCTGTGTAGAAGATTGTCTAACTGTTGTCTATGAGGGAAACTCTCTAGTGACTCCATACTCTGAGGGTGTGGGTTGGGGCTGATTCTAGGCACTTCTTTAAGAATGGAACAATTGACTTTCAGAAGGAAACAAATACCATGTTGTCTATATTAACTGTGTAGGCCCAGTGAGCCACTGTGGTTGGCAGGATCTCTCAAATGCTGAGTTTTGTGATCCCAGCAATTTCCTACTCAGTCAGCTTTCTTTTCTAAGGGTAAGTAATAAGGAGAGTGCTAATATTAGCTCTCTACTGCACAGGATATTGGTAAGAAGGTGATAGAGATGCAATCAACAAAAAAGATAAGGGTGACCAGGGAGCCCCGCTTACTTCCTGTGAACTCATTAAAGGAAGGGTGTACAACACTCTACTATTTACCTTGTGTGGGGCCCAAATCTGGTGTTGGAGTGTCTGTGAAGAATTAAATGCACTGGAGATTTCAATGACCAAATCGTGGAATTAATCGAGAGGCTAGGGAATCATGTGAACATCATGCATGTTGAGTATAGATTTCTCATGCTGTAAAATCTTTCCTGTCCTCCACTACACATTTGTGGGATATTTTAGATGTCAGTGACCTTTGAGGATGTGGCTGTGAACTTCATGCAGGAGGAGTGGGATTTGCTGGATGCTTCCCAGAAGAACCTTTACAGAGATGTGATGCTGGAAGTCCTCAGAAACCTGGCATCTATAGGTAATAATTTGTGTATTTACTTAATTAGAGAATTTGTGTTTATTTTTTTTATTTTTGTAGTACATGAAAAGACAATCAGTTGGTGAATTAATGTAGCAAAAAATGCACCATGAATTTGGAAAAGCATTTCTAGCTCCTAGAAATTTATAATGTTTTGGTTTCACATTTTAGGAAACAAATGTGATGAGAAGAACATTGAAAATCAGATCAAAAATTCTGGGAGCAATCTAAGGTAATTGTACTCACAAGAGGAATCCTTGAGGGAATCTGGGGATGTCATATAATTTTTAAAACCAATGCAAGAAATTTGCATAACTTTAAATGTATTTATTCTTATAAGATTTTTTACCAGAAATATATACTTCACTGGAACTGGAGTTGTGGCTCAGTGGTAGAGAGCTTGCCTTGAATGCTTGAGGCACTGGGTTTTCTTCTCAGCACCACATTTAAATCAATAAAGTTTATTGTCCACTGAAATAAATTATATATATAGATATAGATATATAGATATTCAGTCTATTCAAAGTGCTTGACATGCCAAAAGTATTATGAAATTGCATATGTGAGTAGAACTATTTGGATAATGACCATAGGCAAGCTGTGTTGCAAAGCATTGTTTCCTCTCAATCTCTTTATTTTCTGGCAATTCGAACAAGTTTGAAAATCCTAGGCTTTACCTCATGTTGGAAGTAACGTTAACCTAGGACCTTAAATAAATACAACATCATGAATTAATCAAGTATTAATAATGTGCTTGTCATTAGATACCAATTCTTAAGCAAAGAAAAATTTTAATAGAGTAAATTCATGTGACTGCATTATGTGTGCCAAAGACTTCATATGCCCTTCATTCCTTCATAGGCAGATCACATCTCACTATGTCCCCGAACGCTACAAGCATGAAGAATGTGAGGAGAAGCCATGTGAATTGAAACTATACAGGAAATCTCTGGTTTCTCTCAAAACTGTTCACACACAAATGTTAACACAAACTGGAGATGGACCCTATGAGAGTACAGTATGTGGAAAAGTCATCAGTTGTTCGAATGACATTCAAAGGCATGAAGATTCTCGTACTGAGTGGCAACCTGATGAATGTCAACAATGTGATGAAGCCTCATCTTCTCCCACAGATGTTCAAAATCACACAAGAACACATAGGGGAGGTAAAGCTTTTCAATGTGAGGTATGTGGGAAAGCCTTTCATTCCCCCACTTTATTTAGAAGACATGAAAGAACTCATTCTGGAGAGAAATCCCATGAGTGTAAAGAAGGTGGTAAAACCTTGGTTTCACCCACAGGTCTACACAGTCACGTGGTCACGCACACTGGGAAAGTACTTTTTAAATGTAACATATGTGGGAAAGACTTTGCTTACCGAAGTTTATTTAGAATACATCAGAGAAAACATACTGGAGAGAAGCCCTATCAATGTCAACAATGTGGAAAAGCCTATACTACTTCAACTTACCTTCAGATACATAAACAAATCCATGCTGGAGAGAAGCCCAATGAATGCCAACAATGTGGAAAAGTCTTCACTACTTCTTCTTCCCTTCACACACATGAACGGACTCATACTGGAGAGAAGCCTTTTGAATGCAATCAGTGTGGCAAAGCTTTTGCTCAATCATCTACCCTTCACAAACATAAAAAAACTCATACGAAAAAGAAACCCTATGAATGTCAACAATGTGGGAAAGCCTGCCCTAGTTTGTCTTACCTTCAGAGACATGAACGTAGGCATACTGGAGAGAAGCCCTATGAATGTACGCAGTGTGGCAAAGCCTTCACTCGGTCCAATCGCCTTCACTCACATGAAAAATCTCATACTGTGGAGAAGCCCTATGAATGTCAACAATGTGGGAAAGCCTTCAGTACTTCTTCCTACCTTCAGATACATGAGCGGACTCATAGTGGGGAGAAGCCCTATGAGTGTAAACAGTGTGGCAAAGCTTTTGCTCTGTCGTCTACCCTTCACTCACATAAAAAAACTCATACGAAAAAGAAACCCTATAAATGTCAACAATGTGGAAAAGTCTTCACTACTTCTTTTCAGCTTCATAGACATGAACGAACGCATAGTGGAGAGAAGCCCTATGAATGCAAGCAGTGTGGCAAAGCCTTCACTAACTCCTCTATACTTCACAGACATGAAAGAACACATATGAAAAAGAAAGCCTATAAATGTCAACAATGTGGGAAAGCCTTCACTACTTTGTCTTACCTTCAGATACATGAACAAATCCATACTGGAGAGAAGACCAATGAATGCCAACAATGTGGAAAAGTCTTCACTACTTCTTCTTCCCTTCATAGACATGAATGGATTCATACTGGAGAGAAGCCCTGTGAATGTAAGCAGTGTGGCAAAGCCTTCACTAACTCCTCTATACTTCACAGACATGAAAAAACTCATACTAGAGAGAAACCCTATGAATGCCAACAATGTGGGAAAGCCTGCAGTACTTTGACTTTCCTTCAGAGACATGAACAAATCCATACTGGAGACAAGCCCAATGAATGCCAACAATGTGGAAAAGTCTTCACTTCTTCTTACAACCTTCACAGACATGAACGAACGCATACTGGAGAGAAGCCCTATGAATGTAAGCAGTGTGGCAAAGCCTTCACTCGGTCCACTCACCTTCACTCACATGAAAAAACTCATACTGGGGAGAAGCCCTATGAATGTCAACAATGTGGGAAAGCCTTCAGTACTTCTTCCTACCTTCAGATACATG